TGCTTATGACTTGTTTATATTAGTATCTGGAGATAGGTAAAACATCAACAAGTGTTGGGAGGGAGGGATAGATATTTGGATTGGGGAATTATGTACATGAAAAGAAGGGAGCGGGGTAGGGTACACTCCATATACTTTCAAGTTTGGAGGAATCTGAAAAGGTCTGAGAAGAAATAGAATCAATATGGCATGAAAGTGACTTGACCGTGTTGCATAATACCACTGTTGATCTCGTGGAGACCTTGGGGAGATTTCAGAGAAAAAGGGCGTTATCTAGATTCAGACAGAAAATGGCAACGGCTGGAGCTTGAGACCTCTTTGCCAGATGGTCAGCTCCGGTAAGTCCAGGGGTGCTGGCTGAAGGTGGACTGGGGCTATGTGAAAAGAGAGAAGCAGAGAAAGATTGAAAGCAGAGCAGCAAGGGTCTTGTGTTCTTAGGAGCAGAGTTTGGAACATCAAGGAAGTGGCTGAAATTTGCCTTTTAAGTCCCAGGTCAAACAGATAGTGGGGGAAACATTTCTGCAGAAAGAGCACTGAGAGCAAAGGACCAGTGATGGGAGCACACTTGGTGTTTTAAGCACAGCAAGTGCTTATCCTGGGCCTTCTCCTTAGTCTGTATACCCCTCTCCCCCTGCCCTGCCGCCCCTCCCCAAACTGGTGTTAGCCTGTTAGCCAGTTAGTTATCCCTTTACTGTGAATTGAGAGCTGGGTATTCTCTCTCTTGCAGCAAAGGTACACTTAAACTTTCTACTTTAAAAAGTGGACTAGAATGGCCATATAATTTATCATCTATCCAGAAACATTTTTGAGCATGCTTAAAAATTATACCAGAATATAGAAGGAAATCAGAACTGTTCCAGAAGGGGGAAGGAGTAACTCCAGTGCCCCAGCAACTAATCACCCTGGTATCTCAGGAATCAGAGCTGTGTGGGGAAAGGGGAATCTGCATCTGCTTACTGCAGAGGAAACCAGAGGGAACCCCAGCCTGGCCTGCCGCCTCTTCCCAGGCTGGGTAGGGATGCCCGTTAACTGTCAGGGCTTGGAGGGGTAGAGCAAGGGGAGATTGCACATTCTCCCCTGACCATCCTACCAGAGAATAATCAGGATAACCAGTGCAGACTCTGGCCTTCCAAAAACTTGGGTTCCTATTCTGCTTCTGCTCCTTACCAGATGTGCTGCATTGAACACATAATCTTAACTTCCCTGAGCCTCAATTACGATGTCTATGAAATGAGGATTAGCAACAGCCCCTACAGCACTGAATTGTAAGGTTCAAAAGGAGACATCTGTGTGGAAAAACTCCCTGCAGAGTTCTTGACATAAACGTGGTTCTATAAAGTTAATAATTTATTATCAACAATCCTAGATAGAAAATTTTTATATGAAAGAATGAGGTATGGGTCTTCTAGGTGGGTAAACTTGCTTTTTTGTTTGTCCATTTCCATTTCACAACCAAGAAGGCAGGCAAGATTCAGCCTGTGCTCAGGCCTATGCCCACCTCATTTCAAGACAATCAGCCTACAGAGTTGAAACCTTTGTCTTTGACAGAAACAACATTTTTCTGTTTGAACCTGTATAAATGGAGCATGAGAGCAGACTACAGCCTGTACTTGCTGTTTCTACAGGTGCCAGCAAAGCCCGACTTCTAATAATGGGATCAGTAACCTGAGTAAGAGAACCAAAAAGGCAAGTCTGGATGTATCCCCAACTGTCATGTTTCAGGGAACAATGAAAACACAGTAATGGAAACGCGGCCTCCTCACATGTCCCAGCCAGTCGGCCCCTGCAAGGTGCTATTATTAGCAGCAATGTGAATAAGTGCTCTGACATACAGTGACGGTTCAGTGTTTATGCCAAACACATAAACTGCCTGCCCCTAGCATCTCGCGGGCATGAAGGGTACATGACTAGGTCCAGACAGCAGAGAACGTGGTGATGGTAGCAGCGTTATTGCAGGATAACCCCGAGGCAGGCAGATTTCTCAAGGCTGTGCTGGAAAGAGACAGGGCTGAGCACCCCACTCTCTGCTGCTGATCCCACCAGCAGAGCTCCTCTTGGATGTTCAGAGAGGTGATAGGCGACAAGTGCCAAGTCCACATCAAAGTCACCTCTGTCATCTGGTGACCCTAGGAAGGGCTGGAGGTTCGGCCAGTCTTACAGCCAAGTGAGGTGAGGCTGGGACCAACTCTAACTGTTCTTCAGAGGCCCTTCTGGCTTTATTGCTTTTAGAAATACAGCTCCCTAAGTTAGCAGGGCACTCTGGGAAGGAGGATTCCTCAAGTGATAGCTGGAGATGCCTAGCCTAAGTCCAGGGCAGGTGTGGTGTCAGTGGGCTGAGCTCTGGCCTGTGGGTTGAGAGCAGAACCCATGTGTACAGCTTCCAAAGCAAGTCTGTTTATCCAAAAGTGCCACATCTCCATCCTTCTTTCTCCCTTAGTCCCAGGCTGCAAAACAGCACCCAATGGAGAAACCGACTGAGGCCCAGAGAAGGAAGCCACCACAGTCAGAGAGCGGCTTCTAAAGCACTTGTTAGACCTCTGTTCAAAAGCTCTGGAAGTCTCCATTTTTGTACAGAAGAAAAGTTGAAGTTCTGCGGCAGCTGACATTCTCTGGCCCCTCTGGCCTGTCTACCCTGGGCCTGCCCCTCTGCCCTCTGCACCCCCGACTTGGTGGTCTCCTTGCTGTGCTTAAAACACCAAGTGTGCTCCCATCACTGGTCCTTTGCTCTCAGTGCTCTTTCTGCCAGAAATGTTTCCCCCACTATCTGTTTGACCTGCTTCCTCCCTTTTATTTAAGATTTATGTATTTATGCATACAAGAACTGGGGTACAGGCCAGAAGTGTGGGGGGTGAAAGGATTCACCAGAGACAGAGTGGGGAGCAGAACAGGCAGATGACTGAAATACACTGCTGAGGGGAGCAGTGGGTGAGTCAGGAGAGGTCTGCTGCGCCATGTGGGTTGTTGCTCCCTGGCTGGGGATCGAACTTGTGCTGCAGTGGCTGCCAATAGCTTCATAGGTTGCGTCTTAACTCCTTGCACCACCAGGGAGGTCCTGTTCCTTCCTTCTTCCAGGCTTATGAAATGTCACTAATCTCGGACGCTGACACCTTCTTTTCCTCCAGAGCACTTATCACCATCTTGGAAAAATTATTTGCTACAGAAGTTCATTGTTTCACAAATATGGAAGGCAGAAGTCCAAAATTAAGCTGGCAGTGGGATTAGTTCCTCTGAGGGCTGTGAGGGAAGAAGTTCCAGGCACCAATCCTTAGCTTGTGGGTTCCGTCCTCTCCCTGTGTCTTCTCATCTCATCCTCCCTCTGTGTGTACCTCTGTGGCCACATCCCTGTTTACAGGGACACTGGTTATATTGAGTCGGGGTCCACTCTGATGACCTCATTTTACTTCAGTTATCTTTGTAAAGACCCTGTATCCAAGTAAGCCCATGTTCTGAGGGGCTAGGGTTAGGGCTTCAACATATAAACACAGTTCAGCCCATAGCAATCCCCTCTAGGACACAAGTGGCATTTGTCTGGTTCAGAGAAGGTTCTCATTAATCTTTATTGACTTAGTCAATATACAAATCATCATTTTTATTATAATTATCAATTGGAAATCTTTAACTGGCATTTCAATACTTCTGTAGTTCTGATTAATTGATATTTGCTTTACAATGGATGATAAATTAATAATGATTTCCTGGAGTTAGTGGAAAGATCCCCACATGCCATTGGAATGGCTGGACAAGAATTGCAATGAGCTCAGTGTAATTTTTATGTTGATTAAATTTTACTCTTTTCTAGCATAGAACTTGCTCCCTTTTAGATGGAATTTATAATAGTCACCTAATTATCAAGAATGTTTGTTTTGACTCTCGTCTAAGAGAATTTGAGACTTTAAGTAACATTCCAAAAACAGGTTTTCAATAAAATGAGAATAGAAACAGATAAAGCTGGATGAAGCAAAATAAAAATAATAAGCTGACCAGCAGAATCACTTTAATTGCTCTACTAGAGCATAAAATTTAAAAGTTTGGGGCACCACAGCAGCAGATACAGACAGTTCTTGAGAGGCAGGCTTATAACAGGCTTCAAGGAAACAGACGATTTTTCCTTTGAATAAAATCCACAGAGGACAATCCATAAGGCACAGTTGCTCATGGCATCATTCATTATCTTCCACCACACCACAGTTTCAACAAGAATTCAGAAGATGAATTTAGGCTGTTTCTTGCACCAGCATCATAAAAGTCAGGTGCACAGAGCAGATGTGAAGCCTTCCACCCAAGAACAGTGTTAAAATGAGGGGGAGTCTAGCAAGGTGGTGGCAGAGTACACACCCAGGCTCATCTTGTCTGTAGACCCTCAATGCATTGCAGCAAAGGAGCAACTACCACATACTTTTGGAGCAACAACTTGACAGAAAGGGGTAGGAAAGACTTGAATTAAACTGAAGTTGCAGATGTGATATATATATATATATATATACACACACACACATACACACAATGGAATATTACTCAGCACTCAAAAAAGATAAACTCATGCCATTTGCAGCCACATGGATGGAGCTGGAAGGGTTTATGCTCCGTGAAATAAGCCAGAAAGAAAAAGGAATATATCGGATGGTTTCACTTGTAGCAGGAATGTAGAGGAAACAAATAAGGAATCAGGGGGAAATTAATCATAATAAATTAAAAATGAAAATCAACAGGCAATTATAAATCAGAGATATTCTGCAGAGGAGAAGGAGGGTGAAGAATCAAAATGGGTGGGAAGAGCACAAGGGTCTATGGTGATGGCACGTGGGTGAATTGGTGATGGGAATTCCACGGGGACTACACATGTGAGGAGAAAGCAAATTAGATGCTAGGAAATAGAGTCAGGTTTCTGAGGTTAAGAGGGAGGTGGAAGGGTCAAAAACTACATAGAGGAATAAATAGGTACTACAGCTCTTAAATTCTTTCCCTTAAATCTCATTTCTATTCAACTGGTTTCTTTCCAGGAATGGACTGGAGTGAAATGGTGAAGGGTGTCAGACATCTGGATTTGAATCTGGATTCCACCACTTCTGACTGTGTGACCTTAGGCGGGTGAGTTATCTGTGACATGAGGATGATTATAATGATTATTTTGTATGTTTGTGGTAAAGATTAATGCACATGAACTTCTTCATACTTGGCACAATGGTAAGCACAATTAGTGGTTATTGACTTATTAGGTTATTTGTAGTAGCGTATTCTTGGGTTGTGGAGATACAGATGTATAATTACACATACATACATATACTTTGGAACCCACATGGGTGAGTAGTAGAGATCACATTACCTTGTGAAATTCAAACTGCCCACATGGTATTACTGCTTAGATGGGAGACTGCTAATGTGCAAGGTTGTTTTTTTTTTTTTTGAAGATTTATTTTACTTATACAAGAACCGGGGTACAGGCCAGATGTGTGGGAGGGTGAGAGGATCCACCAGAGACAGAGCAGGGAACTGAACAGGTAGACTGATGAAATACACTGCTGGGGGGAGTAGTGGGCTAGACAGGAGAGGTCTGCTCGCCATATGGGTTGCTCCAAGGCCGGCGGGGATCGAACCAGCACTGCAGAGGCTGCAGACAGCTTCACAGGGCTGCGCTCAACTGCCTCTGCCACCAGGGAGACCCTAACGTGCAAGGTTTTATGTCCCATAGAGGAAGGGCGTAGGAGAACACCCGCTCTCTGATGGGAAACTGTGTGTTAACTCCACTGACAACTTCCCAACAGTAATGCCCTCATTAAGACTACTAGTTTCATTTCTTGGTATTAATTTACTTGATTAAATAAAAATCAGAGGGAGGGAGGTAGGGAGACAAGGAGAGGTAAGGGGTGGGGGTGGAGAGGGAGATTTGTAAAGTGAGTGAGTCCTAACAGGCTCAACTCCTGCTATGGTCCCTGAGGCCCAGGTACCCATTCTCCCCCTCGGTCCTCTGAGCCACCTCACTGTCCTTCCCAGCTGCATGTACCAGTGAATTCACCTCTTTGTTAGGGTTAAAGTTGGGTTTGTATCATTCTGTCATTTTTTTCCTCCTTGGCCTTGTGCTGTAACAGACCGTTTATGTACATTTCCAAATGGATCCTTAAAGTCATTGTAGTATTATTAATTCTATTTCATGGGGGAGAAAGTAATATTCAGAAATATGCAGTTCACAGAGGAGCTGTAGAGGGTCTGGACTGACATCCCAATGTAATGGTACCCTTTTCCTATAGCGGGTCAGAGCATCCTCTTAGTTCTTGTGAGCCATCTGACCCCTGTGTCACAGTCGTGCAAATACCACAGTGACAACAGCGAACCGATGGTATGGCAGGCTTCTAGTAATAATATCTTTATAAATCAGGGGCTGGGCTGGATTTGGCCATAGACAGCAATTTGCTGACGCCTACTTTGGGGCCTGGGAGTGTGTGTGTGGGGGGGAATGAACCATGCTAACCCAAAAGTCAAGAGAACTCTGGTTTTGTCCATGACTAACTGGTGACCTTGAACAAGCTGTTTGACATCTGAGGACTGTCCACCCTGGTTTCCTTCATCATTTCAATACATTTGCAATCTTTTCCATTCTCTGTGTCCTTCCCAGTGTCCACGTGTATAATTGTACATGATGAACTCATAATGGCTCCATTTTTCAGTTGAAGCTCAATTGAGAACCACAAATGTGTTTTTATTTTAATTTTGCCTTCGTGTTGCAACGCACACAAAACATGAGTTAATCTTTGTGCTTTATAGTCCCAGTTCAGGGAGGGCACCAGTCATCCTGTGTGATTCAGTCCCTCAGATGCCCCAGGGCTACTGTGGGCCTGTGAAATCAGTCATTTGCTCTGGCAGCGCTGCCTGTCACCTCTGCTGTCTATTGTCACTTCTCACTGCTGCTCATCTGCTCCTTAATGAATATGCAGTTGCTTAGATCAAGGCCCAAGAATGTGTCCTTATCTATCCCCCACTTTGAGTAAAGTACAGCTCTGCCTCTAGAGGCCCTCCCTGTCATTTGACTTCAAGGTTAAGTTCTAGGTGCTTGGGGGTGGGGTGGGGGGGTGTTGGCATTCCTAGAAATATGATCCTGGGGAAGGAGAGCATTTTGGAGATGGCTGCTTGTTTACCTATTTAGCAAAAATATGACACTGAAGTCATAAGACTAATTTTACAAGCCTCTTTCTCCTTAAGCGATTAGACTTCCAGAAATCCTGGCACCTGACAATGTTCTCTGAACCCTGAAAGTCAATTAAAAGAGAGAAAACCAAAGCTGGAGTCTCCATGTTCTTTGTCCTCAGGATGGGCAGAGAGGGCACCCCGCAGGGTCTCTAGAGAGAGCCTCACATGCATAAGTTGTCAGCAGGATCAAACTGAGCTTCAAATTTCTCGGGGGAGATTTAGAAAGAGCGATCAGAGAGTTCAAATGAGTCAAGGAGAGTGAAATAGGGGATGCTATTAGGCTGGCTCTTCCTCCCTTGATAAAGGGTGTGTATCTGCTTGGAAAATTTTATGTAGTAAAGGGCCACATCATAACTATTTTAGGCTTTGCCATATGTATCTAGTCTTTGTTGCACATTCTCCTTCAGCTGGGGCGGGTGAGGGTTCCAGCCCTAAGAAACTGTAAAAGCTATTATAGTACACAAATAGGCCAGAGTTGACCCAGAGGCTGTAGTTTGCTCCCTGCTTTAGAGCACTTTGCCAGCCACTCCTTGTTTGACTGGGGTTGAGTAAACTTAGCTTCCTAAACCTCACTTTCGTCACCAGAAAATCAGAATGCGACAGGGTTATTGTCTAGGATGCTTATCATAGTCCCTGGCGCCTGAGAACATTCTGTCCATCCGTATGGCTAGTGTGGCTATTTCCTGGGTCTTCACAGTTTTTTAATGTGGCCACTTTCACTGGTTCTGTTAGGGTTATGGTTTGTGGGGAGGGTCAGGTCTGTATAAAGGTGGGTCTGGAAGAGGAAGATGCATTTAATAGTAGCTCCTGAATGTCTTTCCTGCCAGTCTGACAAAAGCTTGAATTTCTACTTGAGAATTGCTCTTATGCAAGCTAGTCCCCAGGTCTCCACCTGCTAGGGAGGTGAAGAAACTGGAGGGGAAACTCCAGGAGGCTAAGTGAGCCCCTCCCCACCTGGTTCTGGAACCAGCTGCCTTGAATGGTGGTCTTGAAATTGGTTTGCTCTCTTAATTCTAAACCAAGTTAGCTACAGACTTCCCCAGAACTTTTCAAACTCCCGACAGGACACCACTTTTTATGTATTTTTTATGTACACACTTCGTGTTTCATATCAAGTGATTGTGAAATATAACTGAATACAGAGCTACAGTAAAAGAAGCCCATTTAAGCTTCCAGCCCATATGTACACACCCATGCCCCGTCCCAGTCATAACACCCCCCCTCTGCCCTGCTAGAAGCCACTGTATTCTCCACTGTGCTATTCATTTTCTTACTTTTTTTTAAAAAAATGGTTTTATTACCTAAATGTAGATACCTGGACAACATATTTAAATGCCCTCTGTTTTTGAATTTGATATGAGTGGAACTGTACAGTTTCTATTTCTCTGAGCTTTATCCCTCTTGTTCAGTATCACAGCCAACCTGCTGTGAGGTGAGGCAGCGTTTGTTTATTTTGATTGTTGTCTAGGAATCCACTCTTTGACCACACCCTAGTTTACCCATTCCTGTTGATTGATGTTTGGATGTTTCCATGTTCAGAAACTTCTTTTAATCACAATTTTTTAAACCTACGGAGGACGTGTGCGTGGTGTGTGTGTGTGTGTGTGTGTGTGATTTATAATTTCAGATATAGAAAAACACAATGCAGGGGATAGGGAGTGTTGCAAGTGAGGGGTGCAGGTTTACACAGAGCAGTGAGGAGCCCCTCCCTGAGCAGGAGATATTTGAGCAAACCCAAAGGAGGAGGCAGGAAGCCATGAGAGCTGGGAGTGTCCAAGGTCGCGGGTAGAGCAGGTGCCAAGACCCTGAGGTGGGCGTGTCAGTGCTTGTGTGTCTGTGGGCTGGGGAGCAAGTGAGGGAAAGGTGGGATCCAAGGAGGAAGGGGAGTCAGGAGGGATGCTTGCACAGGACCATGAGCCACTACAGGTACTTGATTTTTACTCTCAGTGAAACGGTGAATGTCGGAGAGTTTTGGGCAGGGGAGAAACAAGAGTTAGTCTATATTTTAACAGAATCACCCTGGACTCTGTGTTGAGAGAAGTTCATGGGGGCCAGAGGTAGAGGTTGGGAGATGTAGCAGTTATTGAGAGGGTCTAGTAATTATCCAGGCCAGGATGAAGGACAGGCTAGGGACTGGCACAGTGGAGAATTATTGGATTAGGGATATATTTGGAAGGCAGAATCCAACCAATTTGCTGAAAGATTTGGGGCATGAGAGGAATCAAGGATTGCTCCCAGATATGGGCCTTGAGCCAAAACTTCCTTGGTTTATGTAACATGTTCATATTATTGTCTGCTCCACATTTCACAATCTAGGCCCCGCAGAGGTTACATAGTCCCAGAACTCAGGTTTAGGACAAGGCCTGGGTTAGAGCCCCATTACTGGTACTGATTTACAGGGTGACTGAGACCAAAGCCCTTATATCTGTGAGACTCGGTTTCCCCATTTGTAAAATGGAGTCTCAGTGGGGACTATTATTGTGAGCATGACATTGCCTGGTACACAGGAGCTGATCAATAGTGGCAGGTGTTACTATTTTAGCAGCACAACTAGAAATTTTTTTTTAAAGATTTATTTATTTATTTATACAAGCACTGGGTACAGTCAGAAGTGTGGGAGGGTGAGAGAATTCACCAGAGACAGAGCAGGGACTGACGAAATACATGCTGAGGGAGCAGAGGGTGGCAGGAGAGGTCTGTGTGCCATATGGGACCCTCACCCGGTGGCCGGGGATCTAACCGGTGCTGCAGAGGCTGTGGGCAGCTTCGCAACCCAGCGCTCAACCGCTGCACCACCGGGGAGGCCCAGCACAACTAGAATTTGAACATAGCCTTCTGCCCCCAATCCTGTGTTCTTTCCCTGAGTTCTCTTGTCTTGATCCCGGACAGCTTCAAGTGTGTTGATC